GGTAACGGATACGATGGAAGGAGACATCATTCATCCCTACCGAAGTCTTACTAGTAAATCTTCATTTAGTCTTCGTTGAGAGTTTCGATACCGTTCCTCGAGAGAGATATCGGGCTAAATACGATGCCCAGGAGATTCCAGGGAGAGTGATTAACTGGATGCGTAGTTTGTAGTCGGGAAAAGAGCTGAGAGCCATTGTAAATGAGGAAGTGTCTTCGAAAGTTGGGGTTGTTAGTGGGTGCCCATAGGAGGAGGTCAAATGACTGCTTCGCTTTTTCGTTTTCATTCATTATTAAAAACCAGACCTAGTGGGTAAAATCAATTTCCCTGACGAAATTGATTTTACCCACAGAAATAGTTTCTCCATGACGGGGAAGGAGGTAGGGACGAGAGCCGAATGGGACTCGACAGTTGTTGGGAGTAGTGGGGTAAAATAATAATTTGTGGAATGGAGCAGAGTGGATGAGTCGTAATGACGATGTGTTTCTGAATGCGCGGTGAGGATAGGCTTGAAGAGGCAAACGTGGAGAAGGATTCAGGATCATCTGAGTTCAAGGACTCAAATTCTCTGAGAACACGCACGAGATCCAAGGCGAAATGTAGTGGCGTGATGAGAGATAGGCATGACAACCCCTCTCCGTAATTTGTACGACCTACCACCCCTAAGCCATAAGCTCAGAGGAGAAATGAGAGAAGCCATAAGTGCAGAGTTCAACGCAGAATAGAGAACGATCAGAGATGTTCCCAGGGTCGGACTGGCCCACCGGGATACCGGGAAATTTCCCGGGGGAGCCCCAGACCAAAGAACCCCCGCAACTGGTGCAGGGGTCCTTTGTCAGCAATTTCCCGGGGGGTCCATAGGTCGCCAGTCCGACCCTGGATATTCCACTGTATCTATAATGAACACGTATTCAGAATCCACTGTGAAACACGAAAATCTTGTTTCGTTCTGATAACTCCAGTATCGCATCACTTAAAACTAGGGCAGTACACATTTGGTCGGTGGGCCGTTGGTCGATTTTGATCTCATAACCATCGGCCAGTGCCGGTGCCGATTGCGGCCTGTACAAAAAACATGAAATCGCACACTAATTCAAAAATTTTACTTGGCAGCCCTGCGATACTTATCAGTGGCCTCCTCAAAACGATTGAGACCACTTATAAGCCTGTCTAGCTGTTTGTCTTATGTGTCCGTCAGTGGTTACCTTGTTACCTATTGCTGCCGTTTAAGAGCGTTTAACGACACATCTCTCGCAAAAGCATAACATGAAAGAAAATGCTATGATTTTCCGTTCTTTACCGCAATTTTTCTCCTCCGGTTCCTACACTCGAGCTGAAATATAATCATATCGATATTTTTGTCCGGGAGAGACCGGCAGGAGTGGCTTTCAGTGAGACACGAGGGCCGGCTCCTAGCCATGTTCACACGCTCACGTTATTTTTCTCGTTTTGCCCTTACTTTGGGCACCGGCATCAGGAGCTTGCAACCCTGCCGATGGCCGACGGCCGATACCGATGGTTGTCGATACATCGTAACAACCTTACTTAGAACACGTTGGATCCTCCACTAGAATCACCTATCGGGCATAAGGCTATGATTTGATTCTCCCTGAGGATTGTGAATGAGTCTGATATTCCTCTGAGAAATCAATGGCAATTTTGCATGAAAGAAACGTAAGGGCTTCAAGTATTTCCTTTTCAGTAGTAGAAAGAGGGATCTCCAGAATCGCCGTATCAAGCCATGGTGATCCCCCCCCCCCCCCGACGCTCTTTTCGCAGCAGTATGATGAATATAATGCATAGAATCGCTCTTCGACTCTGTCCATAAAATGCATGTACCCCACCTACCATTACGGGACCCACCAGCTCCTGGCTTCTACACCTTTGCCCCGGTAGCATGCCACTGGCTAAACGATGCAGACATTAGGGCTTCATCTGGCACCTGATTGTCAGTAAGAGCTCACTCGTTATTATTCCCTTGTACCGGTAAGATCCCATGTAGAGATTTGTGATCAGTTCTAGAGACCTGCAAATGAGAAGATTTAATGGCTCTAGAGACGGTTCAGAGGTGGACTATTACTACGATGAGGGAGGTAAGGGTAGAGAATGCCAAACGCAGTTTGACGCGTTGAACTCGATTCGCTGGAGAAGTAGCTTTGTGAAGGGGCCTCATTCAGACATCACATCATTAAGGGTTTCGATCACGTGGATCTAAGTAGGCTTTTAACATCATGGAAAAAGAGAAACGAGGGGATAGCTGTTGGACTTGCATTAGCCTCAAGCAAAACTCGAGCCAGGGAAAGCCTTTTTTCCAGTTAGTGAATGCATGTTAGAGTTAGGCGAACACGTCCCTCGTCTTCAGTAGAGAGCTTGAAGAAAAGGTTCTCTGCTTCAAGAACAAAAAAAAGCAAAATAATATAGCTGTGAGTAAATAGACGATTTGGTCCCACTAAAGAAAAGGGGAAGGCGCTTCGCCACTATGTGGCTCTGAAAGCAATACATTTGGCTCACCTAGGTCACACGGATGTAGGAGACTAGTGAAGGCTTCGCCATCGTGTGCTTTGTTCTTCAAGGTTCGGATCAAGGTCAAGAGGCGTATCCTCTCGTTATGACTTCCCGTGTCGAGGTCCCGTGTTCATCATGTATCATAACATAAGCCTGGGTAGGCCTATGTTATGATACATAGAGATATATATTTTTGTGGGAGAATAGCCACCTAATGCCTAGTACCTTCCCAGATAACATTTTTCGTGGGGCCCACGTAGGCCCAACGTGGTCCTCCAACGTCAGGATACGTTGGTCCAACGTAGGTTGTTCACATAGGCCCCACGTGAAAGTGACCGTTGGGCCAACGTGGGGCCAACGTTGGCAGTAAGTTGGATAACAACGTATAACCCACTTACCCAAACAGTTGATTTTTGCACTATATCATCATCATTTCGTACCATATACATTACTTTCCCCTAGATTCCCTATCCAGTGGAGGTATTCCCATCTGTAGTACGGAACCTATACTATGTATTACAACCTACCAAGGACATGTATACAGGGTCGTGCAAAAGTTCCCGTACACTTTGAAAATATAATTTTTCACTAATCAACGGATTTTTGGCGATTCGGATGTGTTTTTTTTTGTTTAATTATACGGACATTTTTTATGTGAAATGTTTTCATTATAGTAAATTTCAGTCTTNTTTTTGGCGATTCGGATGTGTTTTTTTTTGTTTAATTATACGGACATTTTTTATGTGAAATGTTTTCATTATAGTAAATTTCAGTCTTAATTTGAATTTTTTCCTCTGGAGTTATGACGCCTAAAGAGAATCGAAGCGCTAATCGAAGTGTACGGGAACTTTTGCACAACCCTGTATATACCCTGATAGACAGAAAACATGGGACAGTACTGACGTGGATCTTCCCCTGATTGTACTGATTACAGTACGTACCAGAAGATGGACCACCTCGTACAGTTCCATGAAGTATCCACAATACCAGTCCTTCATTTCCTCCTTCTGCAATAGAGATGAGGAAATGGCGGAACTGATTTTACGTATGCTCTTCTTATATTTCAGGTCTCCTTTTCGGATGAAATCCTCGACTTCCAAAAGGATTCTCATCGGGAATATGAGTTTGTTTATGGCCTGAGCTCCATTAATCTGTCTTGAATAAGTGGATAACAAATGATGAAATGTCCGCGCTTATTGATTCCTATGAGTCTAGGCGAGACATATGCGAAAGGTGCTAAACAATCCTGCGAAGGACGAATCCAGGAAAAAATGGAAGGGATCTTTTGTGTGCTGTGTGAAAAGCGAGACCCTATACCTACATCTAGTAGCGAAGAACTTCAAGGTTTTGAAGTTCTCAACCAGGAGTGCTGCAGTTCCTTTCAACGTGCCCACGTTGGGTCCACAAGGAGCCAACATCGTTCCCCGACAATCACGTTCCGCCAACGTTTCCCACCTTTATCCAATGTGGGCCCAACGTAACGTGTTATCTGGGTTACAGCTGACAAGTGTCGCATTGATGCATGCACAGCAATATATGTTGGACTCTTTAGAGTTAGATAAATTGATGAAATATTTTGCAAAGAAAACCGAGGAAATGTGAATATTGGCATTTAAGTTTCAAATGAATTTGATATCCTGATCGAGTTTGAATTAAATAGTAATTTTTTAAATTTCAGAATTGATCTATCTCATTCACTTTCGAGGACGTTCCTACGCCTATCAATCCCACCGTCCGTCTTTCCTTTTCAAATTTCTCTGAAAAAAAAATTTACAATTTCTTCATCGGATATGTCTTATATGTGAGGGCGCAAAAAAATGCATATTTGATCTCATTTCACCTCCTTCGCCCGTCTTCCTCAAAGACATGGCCGACCTCTACATGTGGTGATGCCCACCAGATGGCAAGCCTTTCGCGCGCCTCCCCCATACAGAGGTAGGCCTACCTTAATCGAGCACTCGGCCTCGACCCGGAATGTGAAAATGAGGAGTAATGTCGCTTGCCGTCCCTACTCAAACCATGAATCTACAAGGTGTTCAAAAACTCTCGCAACGCATGGTATCAGTTATTTTTAGCTGCCACATTTAATTTTCAAACTCATGCTTGATATCACTGTAATTTCTGGTCCTAATGTAGGTCTTTACCAAGAGATTATGCAACGAGTACCTGTCGCCCATTTTCCTTCCTTTCCATACTTAGTTCACACATTTACTCCAGTGGATGTGACCGAACATAACTCCATGGGTTGCATGACTTTTTGAGCACACTGGGTAACCATTCTAGTCGGACCATCGCGTTCGCAACGAGAACGTTGAAATCCATCGAAGCCAAAGCGTCTTGTGATATAAGGTAAAAGATACTATGCTTTCGCTTGTTACAAAAAACTATTTATATTATCTTCGTAATAGGCGAGTTTTAATGAGTTTCTTTTGATCATTTAGGGAGATGAAATTCGCCCGTTAATCGGAATACCCCAGGATCTGGCATCGTAGTCCAGCATGGCTATCTCCACAGCGCGTGGGGTTACGTTCTCTACCGTGCTTGTCTCATTGAATCTGTCGTGACCACAGGGTTTTCAAGACACGAGGCGGATTTGTATGCGTTCGAGTCGGTACGATGTCCCATCACAGAAAAAGGAAAGCCGAGGACACGAGTGATGAGGATGGTGAGATCGTGTCCCCCGAGTCTGCCGGTAGGCACGGGGACGCCAAGGAACATTCCCTAGACGCTGTTAGTTCTGAAAACTCCCATGACGAGGAGGTAAACAACGATCGGTTGATCATTCAGCCTCCCCAGGCCAAAGTTTCGTCTTCTCGGAAGGACAAGCACAGCAGTACGAAGAGAAAGAAGGATCGCTCCAAGAGACATCGAAGAGAATTACACAGGGAACGTTCCAAGGAGCACCATCGCAGTCATCAAAGTCACAGCTCCAGACCCAGGTAAGTCTATAATCGACTAAATTTCATGAACTTCCATGAACAGGTTCAATTTCCCTGGATAATCGGCATAGACGAAGGTTATGGGCTATATAAGTGTACTACTAAGCAGACCAATGTCTTTACTTGTACAGGGTGAATCTAGACCGTATGGACTAGACTGCTTTCGTATGTGAAATGAGTTTAACGAAGCAACAAGGAACCAGCCATATTGGCAAAGAAATCTTTGAGTGCTATTCTTTCATCCAATAGTGATTATTGACCTTGTGTCTTGGTAATGCCATATGCACACACAAGACTTTTATGCATGAAAATTTGGCCAATTGTTAGGATTTTTCCAAAAAACATGCTCATCAATTAAACTATAAATTCTGGCATAAATTTGAACAGAGCAAATCCAGCTGATTTTGATGTAGAGGAGAGAGATAGAACCTCAATATGATGCATCTACACAGTTCTAATAGGCACTGTATGTAGAAATTTAGCTGTTGTTTTATATTAAATCAATGGAAAGCTGTTCAGCTTTTTATTAAGATGGTCTCAAAAGATGGCTTCCTGTTGAAAACGTGGCTGCTCAATCTCCATGGCCAAGCTGTGCCTTAGGACTTGCTAGGGGCTAAGCTTTCATAAATGTTTCATGCTTGGAAAGACAAAGTAAAGGGATTAGTTTTGCAATGTGCATTGTGTTCACAAAATAGACATACCCAGAGGCTGAAACCCATGTAGATGATGGGTGGCATTTGACATGACCTCCTTCCACCTTCAATTTATTTTAGTCTGGAGGTTTAATGGGTAAAGGCTTGTAAGTTACGCATAGATAGTCTCTTGAAGGCACGTGGTTCAGAACAAAGATCATATCCGACACTCAAAGTGACTTTGAGTATTCACTCAAATTTAAATTGGCTATGGCTAGCCCAAGCTAGCCCTTTGAAATGTATAAATGATATGCAACTGTCATGCAGTTTGTCATTGTGGGATCAATGATAAACAAAGAGGAGGGTTCCATCCATTGAATATCTCCCAAGATCCTATGGTGTCAGCCTCACATTCATGGAATTGCTGGTGTCGTGGATGTTAGGATATGTTTGTGGAGAGTTATGCCTCAAGGTACAAGGTTATGAACTTTATATGGCTTATTGTTAGGTCTATTATAGAAATAAGTTAGCATGCTGAAGGCACCATGCTGTCTGCTGATGTTCATTGGTCCCTATGAGTTCATTCTGCATGTGTTCTACAGATTTACCTAGTTGGACAGAGATGGAGGGAGGGTGCTAGTCTTAGGTCTATGTTGTATGATCTCTAAAATTAGGAGCCATGGGAAAAGGGTTTCTTTGGGCACCAAAGGGAAGCCTATGCTAGGTTCAGCTTATGGGATGATATGGCAAAGTTATTTCCTGTTGTTTCCTTATTACTAATAACTGATGAGAATGCTAGCATAAAGCTCAATGGAAGGGTAGATTCAGCATAGAGCTTCAGTTCTTTGATGACCTAGTGTGCTGACATCTGCAGTATGATTCAACTGTCTGGAATCAATAGGAAGTTACATATGAATCCTTTTATTATGGTTTGCATGGCATGCTCAATAAATGCATTCCTGGCCCCTCCTCCCTTGAGAACACCATAGGAGAGGTATATCTAACTGTGTTTGGTGACTGTGTCATTCCTGAGTTGATAAAACTTGATGTTACCATGCTAAGCATCTAGCGTCATATGACACCCCACCACATTGCACAGTGTAGGTTCATGATGGTTTGGTGCACAATGAGCACTTCCTCCTCTGGAACAGGTATCATGGTAGGGTGGAGCGGCCTCCATGTTTCCCTTCCTTTATGCCATTTGATTCTTCCCTCTGGTGATGTCAAATCCAGAGTCTATGAGATGAACCACTGAACCAAAGCATCACATAGCAACCTGTCATGCAATGGTCATCCTGCAGGTGTCACACAAAGTAGTTTGATGAGTTGCTTGAGTGTCTTTTACTTCTTATAGACCAGAATGGAAAGATGTATTGAAAATCTGACTACTTGATTGATTCCAGACATTTGAATTATACTGTATGTTAGTGTATTTGGTGACAATAGGGGGTATATTGGAATAGAGGGAATATAGTGGGATCCTCAACTCACCAGATTTGTAGGGAATGGGTTCCTATCCTGGTTAACTCTCAGCTTCATGTTTAGTTTATTTTTTTTTTTCCAGTGGAAAACACAATTGGCAATCAGCATTATTTATGAGTCTAACTAATACTGTTTACCAGTGAACAGGCAGAATTCCTGATGGAATCCATATTTATCTTTTGTTTTGCCTGGAAACAGGGTCTGAACTCTTGTTACCTAGATATGTGAATGTTTTAAAGCCCTTGGTTGGCAAAAAGCATGTTTTCTTGTGTTTTCTTTTTGCACGACCCCCTTTTTTGGCGTCTTTATTTTTTATCATTTGGATAGAGACTGGGAGCTGGTAGGCATTATGTATATGTAAAAAAGAATAATCATCCTAGCCTAAAACAAGTAATATTCCAAAGTAACCCATGACCACTATATATTCAAATGTGAAAAAATCATACAAAATTGTATGCCTTTTTATTGGTCTGGGAAATGGTATTGTAATTAAGTAGACCTTTTTTTAGGTACCAGAGACATCAGCTCTGGTATCCTGGCTGCCAGTTTATTAAGCCAAAGCTGACTGGGCTATCATAGGTTAGATCTCACTTGTGATGTTTTTGAGACATAGACTTAGCCTATCCTCTGGAATTATTTTATATAGCGCATGTAAGTCTTTAGCTCAAATTATTTCACATGGTTGTTGCTTCAGGGATGATCGTGACACTAAGAGAAGTGAGTCTTCTCATCACCGAAGTCGAACATACGATGAAGACAGGGAAAGGCGAAAGGAGAGATGGAAGAAGGAAATGGATGATCCACGTCGTAAGGCTGACCCTCGCAGCCTATCGGCCAGCAGAGTGGACCGCTCCAGAGCTTCTGACATGGTTGCTCGGGAGAGGGATCATGAGTGGGAGACTAGGAGGGCTCGAATGCTTGAGGTACCATCTCAAATCTCCCAGCATGCGATGATGACCTCTTGGGACTCTGCCCACTTAGGATTGCCACCTCACCATCAGGCAGCAAAGCAGCAGAAGCACCAGAAAGAAGTGATGGAGGCTAGACGGCGCAGGAAGGAGCAGGAACGGGAAAGTGAGCAGGTCTTGCGGGGCATTTCACAGAAGCGGGAACACAGTCGGAGTAGAGAGCAAGGCCGGGAGGATCTCAGAGATGATTCCTGGTCCAGGGAGGCATTGAGACATGATCGGGGTCGAGATTTTCTTGGCAATAAGGTCAGTAAAGTGAGATTTAAAAATACAATGTGATTATAAAGTTGGTTGGTGGATGTACAACATTCTAGAGCAAAAATAATGTACCACAACTCAGTGAAACTTTGGTAGTCATATTAGCACCATGTGGAGAATGTTTTGCAAAAAGGAAAGGCAGGCATCATAGGGTACACTGCTGACATGACATCATGTATGCAGGGTAAGGAATCCATTCACTGACGGTTGAGAGTCAGTCTACAATGTTGGACACTGATTGGGAGCAGTTTTGGAGCTTAGTGGGACTGTATTGAGCATTTCTTGCCATAAATACATGAGTTCATGCTAGCAGCACCCCCTAAGAGATAAGTTTTTTTTTTTGCTTACTGTTCTCCCTATGGTGCACCAATATGACTTCCATACCTTCATTGAGCTGTTAGGCATCATTTTTGTTCAAGCATGTTTAAGAATTTCATGCATCTCCTAACCAACTTTATAATCACCTTGTAAGTCAAATTTGATTTGTATATCTCATCTGATTTCATCTAGAATTTCATCTCATCCTTTTTTTCCCTCATGCAATTATTTGCTTTATTATAAAATGTGCTATCAATTTCTTCTGTTTCTAATTTGGATGGTGATCAAGACTTGCACTCATGGCTTTTGTTGATGAAGTCAAGCTCCAAAGATATTCTTGCATGATTGTAAAAAAATGAAGTAATGGATTCATTAATTTTGCCTTGTCAATTTTGCATTATTACCTTTTTTTTCAAGCTGAAAATTTGTCATTTTTGCAGTAAATGTAGTTCCTGTGTCTTGCAAGTTTAGATATGAGGATTTCCCTGAGGGTGATGGTGTTGTATTATGAGTCAATGATGGTTCAATCCTCAGTAAAATGCCTTCTTTTCTGCTGCTAGGGGAAAAAGCTTAACCATTTAACATTTTTAGGGTTCTTGATGCAAAAAGCATTATAAATGAAAACTCATAAGAGCATTTGCATGTGCATAAAATGAAGTTGCCATGATGAGTTTTATTATAAACATGAAAGGAAAAATGCTCTGGAAGAAAGATATGGCAAAAGATTTTCTTCTTTCTGTCAACAATAAGCTTCAGGCAGTCAAACAAAATTATGCAAGACTAATTTGGTTATATAATGGCCTCATTCATTATAACAAATAATGCCTGGTCCAGCCATCCACAATTCACATTCATCCATGATGTATGTGAATTGAGGATTAAAGCTTTGTATGCACTGTTCCCAACTTTCATGGAAGATGGTCCATCTTAGAACATCCAATTATCTTAGCTCTGATCAATCATCAATGATAGCATCTTTCAGAAGTCACACAACTCATTGTATACAACATTTTTTTGTGTAACTTAAATTGAGTATCTGATCAAAATTGGCATAATATGGAAGGTCACATTTCACCCTTATATATATAATAAAAATGTCATAGCAAGTTTTGAAAGTGACCAATGTATTCCTGCTAGCACATGAGGACATGCTTGTGCATGTTCACAGAAACATGATGTAAGGTTGCCTGTGTGATGCTGGAAATAGCCTGTGCAATGCTTTGCTTCAGTGTTTCCTAGTCTCTGGGATTGTAAGTGTATGCACTTTCCTTAAGGTATTCTCACAGGAAATAGTCAGTTGACATCAATTCTGGAGACCATGGCAGCCAGAGATTCTTGCTTATGAGTGGCATGAGCAATAGCTCCATTGTGAAACCATGTGTCAAATTCATCAATATCTAACATTAACAGTAATAAATTGTTGAAAGGTGTGTTGTAAAATTCAGCATTTACAATTTCTGCAAAAAACACAGGACCAACAATATGTGATGCAATCACTGATGTGTACATATTCCAGTTAAACACTTCAGTTAAACAGTCAAGCACTTGTTTATATATAGAGGTGCATGACTTTTGAAGACCCTGTAGTTGGGATTATCAAAACAAAATGTGGCAAGGATATGACTTTGTCTCATTTTTCATATCATATCCAGAGCTTGATTGTTATAAGCTTGGATTGGAACCCAACATGAATGTGAGACTCGTTGCGTTATTTGAAATAAAGAGATGACAATTTTTAGCTATACCCTGAACAAAAAAGGAAAGCTATTGTGCTTTTCCATGGGCTAAGATGTTCACAGCTGATATTTAGGGATGTCTTTGACAAATTGGTTTTGGTGGTAGTAAGGTGTCATGTATTTTGCAGGTTTCAATGTTTGTTTCACTCAATTGTTCTTAGAAATCCTTTTCCACTTTGTGGATTGCACATTACTTTAGATTTGTTATGAGATCATTGTTAAAGTTCATTTACATGCACCTTGCAGGTGGAGGAGGATGCAAAGGTGAAGCAGTTGCAGGTGAGCAGATTTTTTTTTTTTACTAAGAAGGATCCATTCTGTCCACTTGTGTGTCAGAAAGTTTCCAGGTTTTACTATTTATTTCTGTAGCATAAGGAAGCTGAGGAGCCATCTCAGATCCAGGAGATCAGTGAATCCTCAGACCAAATAGTTGCAAAGCTCCTAGATGAAGATATAGAGATAACAGTGAGTTCTTTCATTTTCATCATCCCTACATTGCACAGTGAGACAAAGGAATTTACCTGGCTAAAACTCAGATAGCTGAGACAGGGATAAGGAATACATGAGAGCATTATATGGCTGGATAGAGCTAAAAAAAAATGCTCTCACATTTTTCATCTAGACAATCAATTTTTTATGTAAAAAAATTTGAAATAATGAATCAGTTATAATGATTAAAAATTGACATCTTTCAGCAACTCAAAATTTCAGGAAAAAACAGACAGAAAGTATGCTTTCTCAGTAAGAAAAATATGCATACTTCTTTCGATAGATTATTAATTTCCACAGAAAAAATGTATTCCTGTTTTGCAGAAAGCACAATGCTTCTGCAGAACATGTTACTCTTCTTAATTTTTCTTCCATATAATTTCAAATATTAATTTCTACTTATCTACGTTTTCTATCATCCTGTTTATCATCCTGTTTATGGTGAGGGGTGAAGGGGGAGGTCATAAAATTCTATCTCAATATTATCTCCTGAGAAGCTCCTAGAGGTGCCTCTTAGGGCCCAAATTAATCAAAGGAACAGCAAATGCAAGTTGACCAGGATCAGAAGCATATTGATCTTAAGCAGAGCCTACCAGGACCTCCACATCAAAGAAGAACAAAAGAGACTGAGGATCCTGAAAAGCCTACTAATGCAGAAAATCATTGAGGACCCTAATCTTTTTATTACCCCAATCTCATAAACTTGAGGGATTGCTTATAGAGTGCAATGGGAAAAGGGGTATTTTTCACCATCTGCATGATAGCCTCATTAATGTCATTGTTCTTTTGAGTTTCAGCCTAAAGAGTGACCCTACTCTACACATTCTAAAGAAAGTGCACCTAGCAATGAATTCCAAGAAACCCTTCAAAGTGGTGCAGCCAATATTAAAAATGGAATCTTCTACATAGGAAGATGCTTGGGACTGAAGAGGATTCAACTAAAAATAGAATAAACATCACCTAATATTTCCATGATATTTATATTGCAACCTAAGAAATGCTTTATCTGACACTGACCCAAGACTCACTTGCATAATATGGGCTGTCCTCAACAATTTGCTCATCTTTGCTTCAATTAATCATTTTCATGCAGATATGAGGTTACAAAATTCATACAGAGGATATGATGGAACAACATGATAACCAAAATGGAGTAGGATTTCATCGGTAAATTACACCTTAAGACTGAAATATGGTGCCATGACCCATCACAATGTGGTGGTAACTATTCCTCAGAGATAATAAATGATTTGTAATTGCTTGATGACAGGAAGTGCCAGAGAAGTCATCTGCTTCATCTACTGCATCTTCTTCTGGCAATTCAACCTCCTCCAATAGCAGTGAAGAGGAGGGAGAAGAGGAAGAGGAAGAAGAAGGAGAAGCTAGAGATGATGAGGGAGAAGAGGAGAAAGGATCCAGCAGTGATAAGAATGAAGTGCAAGCTTCTGACAGTGAGCTATCTGATGAGGATGAAAAATCAGAGCATGGTGAGGGTGAAGACAAGATGTCAACTGAAGAAGAGGAAAGTGAAAAGGACATTGATGATGAGGAAGGTGATGAAGCTGAAGGAGATAGAGAAGATGAGGAAGGAGGGAAAGATGAATCAACATATGTTGAAGCAACTCCTCCACCATCTCCACCAGAACTGAAGCTCCCACCTTATCTCCCTGGGGTACAGGGCTGCCGCCGGGTTGAGGAATTTCACTGCCTTAACCGCATTGAAGAGGGGACCTATGGTGTTGTCTATCGGGCACGGGATAAGCGCACTGATGAAATTGTGGCTCTCAAGCGCCTCAAAATGGAGAAGGAAAAGGAAGGCTTTCCCATTACATCCCTGCGGGAGATCAACACATTGCTGAAAGCACAGCATCAGAATATAGTCACTGTGCGGGAGATTGTGGTCGGGAGTGACATGGACAAGATCTACATTGTGATGGACTATGTTGAACATGACCTCAAAAGCCTCATGGAAACAATGAAGACCAAGAACCATATGTTTGTGTTTAGTGAAATCAAGACCCTTATGATACAACTCCTTCATGCTGTTGCTCATCTACATGACAACTGGATTCTTCATCGGGACCTAAAGACCTCTAATCTTCTTCTCAGTCATAAAGGAGTATTGAAGGTGGGCGATTTTGGCCTTGCTCGAGAATATGGATCACCCCTGAAGCCATATACCCCTGTTGTGGTGACACTGTGGTACCGTGCACCAGAACTCTTGCTTGGTGTCAAGGAATATTCAACACCTATTGATCTCTGGTCTGTGGGTTGCATCTTTGGGGAACTGATTGCTATGGAGCCCATGTTTCAAGGGAAGTCTGATATTGATCAGCTCAATAAGATCTTTAAAGACCTTGGCACTCCAAATGAGAAGATCTGGCCCGGTTACAGTGAACTACCAGGAGTGAAGAAGATGTCATTTGCTGAGCATCCTTACAATCAGCTGCGGAACCGATTCCGCCAATACAAGCTGACTGAGCTTGGTTTTGATTTCCTCAACCGCTTCCTCACTTACTGTCCATCCAAGCGGATCACAGCAGAAGAGGCGCTCAAGCACGAGTGGCTGAGTGAGAAACCATTCCCAAAGGACCCTTCGATGTTCCCAACGTGGCCAGCCAAGAGCGAACTCGGTCACCGGAAGCGTGCCGAGAGTCCCAAGCCCCCCTCAGGAGGGGGACAATATTACAAGCAGATGATCGGAGAGGATGATGAAATTGCTGCCCGCTATGGATTCCCCTTCCCAGGTCAAGATGGGGTTCCTGATGCCTCCAAGGTACCTGGTTTCTCACTGAAATTTTGAGAATGTGTGAAAGATGTGGATCACAAAATGAATGATGTTTCATGTTATGTGTCACTCCACAGGCATGTTTTATTCTCAAGCTTTCCAAACAGAAGCAAACAGATAGCTTGGATCTTCCAATATCTAATTCTTGAACCAAAATTATGTTTACATGAAGAATGCTTTGCTCCGTTCACTTTTTAAATTTTACGTAATAATGTCTGGGTAATAATTAATATTAGAATTTCATCACTTTGTATCGAACTTCTTTCAAAGATCTTTTTACTCTGTTGCCTAAGTCGTTACCCCTTAGATCAGTGGTTCTCAAACTAGGAGACTCGACAGGAACTGAAACTCTTTTATTTTAATTTGTTTAAATGCCCATTTTGGAAAAATCAAGCTTTACATATATAAATTTTTTGTTTTTGCATTAAAGATTTTCAAATTCCTTCACAGCTTAGTCAAACGCTCACATCAACTGGATAGCAGGATAAAGAGAGTAGGTTGCTCCAGCCACTTTTTTTTTTCAGAATACATGATCGAGAGCTTTCTGACACTTTCTTCTACATGAAGGTAATCTCTAAGTGGGGGAATATAAATCATGGTTTCTAAAATGGATCTTCGCTTCCATCATATCTCATAATCTGAGTGACGACGACGATGGTGTAGGGAGCGACCATTGTTTTCCGCTAATTGTTCCTGAATTCGCTGGCCCGAGTAGAATTACTCAACCTTAAAAGTCTTACTTCTCAGTTTTGTATTGTGTCTCTTTGGGGTGTAACTTTAATGCTTTATGTTGCGTTGGTGCACCGGTTTTGAGCAAAATGCCCTCAGACTTAAAAATATCACGAAGCAATTCTCTGTCGGGGCAATGAAGCAATGGCAATCTTCTTACCGGTGCGAAACTGATATTTCAGGAGGAACTGCAATGGAGACGAAATATCGATGCGGTCTGTATGTCGAAACTAAGGTTACTGTCGTTATTCCTACAATCAATCCCAGATTTGATTGATTGTTCGCCTAGAAGCAACCACATTAGTATCATTAATTTTTGTGACATTACTCAATTGCTAGCTGTGGCCTAGTACTTGAAGGGCTAGGATCCTTTTGCTTTAATTTTGTATCCTTTGTATTAGGTTGAGGCATAAGTTCTGACCCTCTATGACCTATGTTTAGGAAGTTGACCGTCATTTTCTGATGTAAAATTATTGCAGCTATTGTGTTTTGTATTTGATTGCCGGTTGTCTGCCGAGAATTTTGATACCTCATTTGCCACAAACCGTTTATTGCATCGCCCCATTTTTCAGCACAATGATTCATCAAAATGTTTACTTCCCCGCCCTCTTTACGCGTACCACAGCAAGCTGACAGTGACCGCTGCGTACCGAGAACTGCAGGAAACCTACGGTGAAACTGCTCCTAGCCTTTCGAAATGCAAGCGATGGCTCAAGAAGTTCGCCTCTGTGATCGATGACAAACTCCGCTCTGGACGACCCGCTGAGCTGAAGAAGGGAGATCTGCAGGAGCTGCTCGATGAAGACCCGGGCCTATCTTCACGTCAATTTGGTCAGTAGCTCGGATGCGACCATAAAACCGTCGTGAGACATCTCCACGACCTCGGCAAGGTGCGCAAACAAAGCGTTTGGGTACCCCGCGAACTCAGCGAAGAAAACAAGGACGACATGACCAAGTTGACGTGAAGATAGGCCCGGGTCTTCGTCGAGCAGCTGCTGCAGATCTCTCTTCTTCAGCTCAGCGGGTCGTCCAGGGCGGAGTTTGTCATCGATGTCGTCGATCACAGAGGCTAACTTCTTGAGCCATCGCTTGCATGTCGAAAGACTTGGAGCAGTTTCACCGTACGTTTCCTACAGCTCTCGGTACGCAGCGGTCATTGTCAGCTTGCGGTGGTACGGGTAAAGTAAGAGGGCGCGGAAGTAAAAAATTTTGCTTAATCATTGTACAAACAAATGGGGCGATGCAGTAAACGGTTTGTGACAAATGAGGTATCAAAATACTCGGCAGACAACCGGCAATCAAATACAAAACACAATAGTTGCAAAAATTTTGCACCAGAAAGTGAGGTCAAATTTCTAAACATAGGTCATAGAGGGTTAGAACTTATGCCTCAACCTAATAAAATAAAATATTTCCTTTAGATAGACTCCATCAAAGCATGATTGCAGTCTTGTATCCAGGTAATTCTCCCAAGAGGAAAGGGAGGAGGGGGCATGCATAAAAAATTTGAAAACCGCTGCCGTAGATGAACATCCATGGTGCTTTTTTTTCCCACTTCACTAACTGCCACGCTCTTTGAAATGATGGGAAAATGATTGCAAATAGAAAGAGGAAGGTTTCCAAAAATTCCCCAAGTGGAAATTTCCAAATCCTCCTCTGTGGATCGGGGACACAAATTTCCTGTATTAACTAAACCTGTTTCCCTTTTAAATACAATGGATCAATGCTGGTGAAATGCCTGAAATTTTTTCTTATGGTCTCAGATCTATGAGAATGAAGCCCACATACGTTGTAATTGGTGGTGGAATCAGTGGCCTCGCAGCTGCTTATCAGCTCTGTCGGAGGGGACACAAGGTCCTTTTAGCTGAGTCGTCCACGCGTTTTGGCGGCTGGATCCAATCCATACCTCTCGGAGATGGGATCGTATATGAGACAGGTCCGCGGACCCTGCGACCCACGGGTGAATCGGGTCGCTCTACTCTCTTACTCCTTGATGAACTAGACATGACTGGCTCAGCAATAGCTGTCCCAAGAACAGCCAAGGCTGCCCGTCGACGACTAGTCTGCATCGACAACCACTTGTATCCCATAAAGACCGGTCTAAGTGCTTTCTTCTTTCCACATGCCCCATTCTATGTTCCATTGCTGAGTGTCATTCTGAAAGACCTTTCTACTTCGAGGAAGGCATGTGATGATGAGAGTCTGTATGATTTTACATATCGGCGTTTCGGTAAACGCATCGCCGACAATGGAATCGACCCATTGTGTCGCGGAGTGACCGGTGGGGATGCTCGAGAGATCAGTGTCAAGGCCATCTTTCGCCCGTTATTCGAGGCAGAACAGAATTACGGGACGGTGTTCGGTGGAATGTTGAGAAAAGTAAAGTTGCCAGAAGTTGACATTAAGTTCAGCCCCCACGGTACCGAGCACGTCGATTCCACGTCTCCCAGCGTGATCCGCAGCCGCAAAGAACATTGGGCTGTTTGGAGCGTCAATGGAGGACTCCAAATGCTGGTTGAGGGTCTACTCCGCTCGTTGCGGTCTCACCAAGCCGAACTATATCTTGGAACTCCATGTCAGCGCCTGGAGTTTCGGGACGGTGTTGCGAAAGTGGATCTAGGACGGACGACGATTCAGACTCGTCACGTCTTCAGTGCCGTCCCTGCTCCCGCTCTGGCCGGGTTGCTCGGCGAAGAGCATTACGTTTTAAAGCAACTTCTGAACACCATTCAGTCTGTGGACATGGGTGTGGTGAACCTCGAATACGAGGGGAAGGTGCTCAAGCGAGAGGCATTTGGGTATTTAGTACCATCGCATCAGGGTGGACGAGCGTTGGGCACCGTATTCGACACCTGTGCCTTCCCGCAGGTGAGTCAAAAGCTGCCAAAAACCTCTACGTTGAAATAAATTATTTTATATCTAAAATGTTCCCCAATTACAGAAAAACTCCACCATCCTAACCGTGATGCTGGGTGGTCGATGGTTCCAGAGTGTCTTCGGCGATGATCCTTCGTCAGATGACCTTCTGGAAGCCGCAAAGGAGGAGGTAGAACTAAGACTTGGAATCAAAGTTCCGCCGAAGCGTTACCATGTGTCTTTGCATCGGGGCTGCATCCCGCAGCATACCGTTGGGCATTACGAGAGGCTGGTCGGTATGAGGGACTACATTCGGGATCACTGCCTCCCGCTTACCATCATCGGAGCTTCCTACGATGGCATCAGTGTCAACGATTGCATCCATCATTCACGCAAGGCTGTGAACGAGCTCAATCTCGTTTAGGCTCACACCCTTCTTGTGTTTTTGGTGCTTTTTCGTTTGGTGATGTGCGTTAGGGGAATAAAGGTTTTAAGTTGCAATAAAACTTTTTTTCTGTTACAGCGGCATATGCAGCCATAATAACGGTGAAACTTGGATCATGCTTACCCATAATTCGCATCTGTAACATCTGTCACTGCAGGCTGCTTTTAGGGCATAATCCAAGTTACATCTTGTTCTGCAGGCCTTGGTCTTGGTAACATCATGTCCCTATGGAGTTGACGACGGGCGACCAAGGAAAAGTAGGACTGCCTACAAAAAGAGATGCTCCTGAACGATTTTGAGAGGAGATAGGAGATATTTTTTTTACAGCAGTTGCTTCCACTGTCACGGAAACCAGAGATTCACTGTATTTTGGCCCGTGAGAGAAGTTCGTAAAATTGTGCTCATCTGGGAAGACTGCATGAACCAAAGCAAAGAATTTCGGTATATTCCTTTAAGTCCATCGTGAAAGCGCAGGGACTAGCCATCAGACCAAAAAACCATCGGTCATGGCCCCAAAAGCCATCATTTTCATACATACATACATAGATTTTCTTGGCCGCTTTTCCCAACTTAATGGGGTCGCGGTTCGAGCATTCCCAGGAGCGTCCTCCAGTGATCTCGATCCTGGGCAACAGACTCAAGCTCAGCTGGTGGGATGCCGAGTCGTTGTTTCCGACAGGTCTTTTGCCTGTCATCTTGGCCTGGAAGACTCCTCTTGGGAGCCTTTCAGGGGGCATGCGGCAGACGTGACCAAACTACCTGGCCTGAGACTTCTCGATCCGGAGAAGCAGCTGTTCGACGTGGAGACTCTCGCGGATGGCAGTCTCTGCCGTCATGGCGCGTCGCGCCAGCCACTCGACGCAAGAACCTCATTCCGGCAGCTTGTATTCGCGATCTGGTGCTTTCGGTCATTACCATAGGTGAGGGTGGGGAGAGAAACAATCTTAAAAACCGAGAGTTTTGCTTCCCGAGAAACTTCCTATCTGGTAACCACGGTTCGGCAAAGTTCCCGCAGAACTGCAGAAGCCTTGGAGATGCAGTTGTTGATCTTGTTTCCGTATCGCCCGTCACTCGAGAACCAGACCCCGAGATACTTGAACTTCTCCACCTGTTCCAGTGGGACCCCACTGACATACAGGATGCACCGAGCAGGATTTCTTGAGAGGACCATGACCTGTGTCTTGGAGACGCTCAGTTTCATTCCGACCGCAGTGCATTCAGAGTTGAACCGATCGAGCACCTGTCAAGAGCGGGTCAAAAGAACGGCATCGTCGGCAAAGAGAAGTATCCTTACCGCGACGTCACCGATGTTGACCCCCTCCAGACCGAGGCTGCGCCTACAGATCCTGTCCATGTACACGAGGAACAGNGCCTGCAGAACTTTCTCCATGGTGAGACTAGTCTCCGCGCTAAGAGGCTCCAGGTCGGGTAGGTCAGTGTCCACTGTTGGTGGGTTTAAAAGCTCTTCAAAGTGTTCCTTCCACCTCCCAAGTATATCCGCCTCGGCAGCCAACACCTCTCCGTTCCTGTCTCTGATGACCCGGAGCGTATGTTGCCTGCCTTGCCGTAACCTTCGGATGGTTTGTCAGAACACCTTGATGGCTGTGCGGTAGTCTGATTCCATTTGATCGCCGAATTCCTTCCATGCCTCCTGTTTCGCTTTGGCCACAACACGAGCAGCAGTTCGTCGCGCCTCGGAATAACACGCCCTAGAAGAATCAGACCTACTGGACATGTACGCCCGGTAGGCTACCTTCTTGGCAGTGACAGCCTCGCGCACCGCTGGTGTCCACCAGGGCGTTCGCTTGGCGTTACCGTGAGCCACTCCGATGCGCTTCTCCCCACACACTTCTCTCTTGCTGCCGCCGCCGAAACACCAGGCCGAAATAGTCCGAAATAGAGTCCAGAAAGAGCCCAGGACTCTATAGAAATAGAAATAGAGTCCATTCGGTCTCGACAAAATAAAAGCCATGATTTACACGCCATCATTTTCACTCTCGTGTAAGTCATGGCTTTTATTTTGTCCTCATGTTTTGCTTCTGTAAATTCTTATTCATAGTTCATTGAAAAACAGGCTTCTTCGTTTGTGCACCCTACGTTGCGGATGTACTTAACGGTTCTCGATCGAGGTCTATAAAGTGCGAAGGGAGGGGGCAAATGAAAAACTGAAGCTGAGAATAAGGAGAGGATCGCGTCTTAGAATTTCAACATCCCCCCTCCTCCCATTTATACTAAAGCCTACGGAAGAGTTGAGATAGTTCGAGCGAAGCGAATCATTAGAATGAACTCTCTAGGTTCCTGGAATTTCTGAAGTCAGTGACGAATTTGGATCGCTTCAGCGATTGGTAATCACAGGTGTCTTTGAGTTTTCCTACTGACACTCGTCTATTCTTTTCCGAGTGGGACGTGGAAATTCATGGCATTCAATTCAGAAATTCAAGTCAGTTCAGAGCTGCTTCATACATAAAAGTACGCTTTTGCATTGCACTTTCACGTCGAGTTCTTTCTTTCCTTCGACACTGTTAAAAGAGGAAACCCAAAGTCCGATTTGGAACTGGAGCAAATAATTGTGGGCGTAGCTTGTTTGAACCCGAGTTATAGATGGCCGATCTACGCCAGGAAAATGGAACTGGAATATGAGCTGGTGGGTGGCTCATGTTCATAGCAGATCTTTTATGCCTATTTATGATCCCCTTGTGCCACTTCTTCGCAGTGGGTTTTGAAGTAGGCTTCATTTTCTATCCACGTTTCTCTCGACAAGAAAAGTAGTCCAAATGGGTTTCGTCAAAGCTGCGTGTCATGTAATCGTAAGACCCGTTTTTTCGAGAAACCCGCGCTGCTTATAGAATCGGTGAACTTCCTTCAGTATATCTTCCCCCTTTTTAACAACTTAGCGGAACCTATGATCACAGTGTACACATGCGAAATAAAACATGAAGGGAAATTTTGCCCTCCATAAAAAGGAGTTGGCTTCATTGGATTCATGTTCTTCGTAGTTTGCATTTTGATATACAGGTTATCGAAAAGTCGCTGTGCAGTGGAATTCATGACACGAAATGATACCTTTTACTTTAGACAGCAAGTATAGACAATGAATGGTGTACTCGTACGTATGGGATGGTGCTAATCACTGGCGTAGCCAGGATTATCTAAGGGGAGGGGGCTGCGTCTCCCTTGCCTCTCCTGACTAGCCGCCACTGTTACAAAGCATATTCTTGCAAGGCGAGTGGATCCGAAAGCGATAAAAAAAAGTCCACGAGCTGTGAAACGAAGAGGGGGTTATTTGAGAGGAATACGACTACGCGGGAAATTTTCAAGGTAAAAGAAAACTCAATTAATAAAAAAATCACTTGATAACTGATCAGCTGCTTACCAGACCGTGAAAATATGCCAACGTGTTTTGGTGGATCAGCCCAATCCTATAAATGTATGAGGTTATTTTTTCGTTCTAAGTATGTTGCAGAGGTGAAAAGCTCTGTGAGGACGCAACACAATGGCGTGGACGTTATTGCTGTTTTCTCGGGTACTCTTGTGATCTGAACCGCTGCCTCTGAAGAATTCTGTCGATGTTTTCTCTTGCTGATGTTTTGTCACGTCTATGTCTTGTCGTTGATGTTCTGTCGTTTCGATGTTTTGGCAGGGAACTCCCCATGAAATACGCCATTTGTAAAACCATGGGTATGGAAAAAGATTTGAACTGGTGAAAAGATTCGCAGTCTTGTTCTGAAGAATGCCCAAAGGTGTGATGTAAGTGTGGCTACAAAAGAACTTATTTGACGTGTTATCCCATTGAGCATCGCCGGGCTGCTAGGAATCATAGAATAGGTCCTCGAGCCGTGGTTTGCACATCCCCGCTGTACACCATGGCGTCCTCCTGCTGCCTGTAGCCACGTGTTTGCAGTAGGTAGTCAAGTAGGAACCTCTCAGACTCACGTGAAAGTGGCGACAGTCGTTGATTGCGGAGTGCGTTTCTTAAAATTGCTTTTCAGTCAGATCCTAAGCCAATAATATTTATATATGTATATATATGTACTTTTTTTTTTCTTGGAGGGTGGAACGAAATAGTGTCGAACTCAGCTGCCGCACACTATAATAGGCAAATATTGTGTCGCTGGGCAGTGCACCGCATTAAGTTAAAGTTAGTCTAGCGTTAATATAAGAACATAAGGTTATGCCCAACTTGAACTGTTAGCGTTTGGAAGATTAGGCACAGGTCTTGACCTGAAGCAGTGGGTGTAGATCTTCCAAATGGAGTTCAACTCCAGATTTTAGTAAGTCTTGTGTAGATTTGACGATGCTTCTTAACCTGGAACTTTTCTATCCTCTAATCTTAGAATAAAGTGTAGACCTATGGATTCATCTAGCTATAGTTTAAAATTAATGTTATTTTTCCAAAAACTCACAGAGTGAGTTTTCTGCATTCACCACAGCATTATCTGTATTTTGTTGTCATGCTGTTTTTCACTATTCTTTTCCAAATCATACTGCATGTATATAGAAGGCTTTTGATCCTGAATATCTAGCTGAAGTTGACCTGTGCTATGTGACCAAACTTGAATGACTCCCATCATGCCTGATACAAAAAGGGACAGAAATGAGCATAGGGGTTCTAGAAGAGGAGCAGGTACTAGGAAGTCCTTCAAAGGTCAAGGTGGAGGGAATCAAGGTGAAGGTGAAGGGAATAGGGGTCGAGGAGGAGGGAACCGGGGTCGAAGTGGAGGGAACCGGAGTCGAAGAGGAGGGAACCGGGGTCGAAGAGGTCACTCTCTTCTCCCCAGAGGAGGTGAGAGAGCCCAATCTTTTATGAAGAAGGTGCCTCAGGATACACTGGAGATGGATGAGATGAGACATTTGACTCAGAAATATGACCAGGTGGGTGTTGCCATTCTTAAGTTCAATATTTTAAAAAGTATGAAAGTTTGTCTCTTCATCATAAAAGTGAGGCCTAGACCTGAAGATGACACAGTGTCCCTAAATGCATTTGTCAGATTGTCCCCCAAGATGTGAAGAGATTTCAAGACCTCCCCCTGTGCAAGAAAACCCAGAGAGGCTTGTGGGATGCAGGTTACCAGTTCTTGACTGAGATCCAGAGAGAGTCCATCCCACTTTCATTGCAGGGATGTGATGTCCTTGGGGCTGCCAAGACTGGCTCTGGCAAGACACTTGCCTTTATCATACCAGTGAGTTCCTGGCAATAGGGGAGCTGCTTTTTCAGAGGGGTTCATGAATAGTGCTCTTGATTTTTCTGTTTTATTGCTCATATGATAAAAAATAATGAAGTTATATAGTAATTACCAAAATGAGTTGACCGATCTTTCAGTCATGCATTCAGAAGAAAAGCCTCTAGAGATGCACTGTTATTTTTTCAGTGAACAACTGATATTAGGAAAATGTTGTATTGACCCTGCAAGCTTGTGAGCCTTCTTATCTCATGGGCTTGTAACATAGCATGTTTCATGGGTGAGACAAATAGAGCTGTGCACATTGCATCAACCAAAAACTTGGGAAAGAGGTGTTGAATGCTCTTTGCAAACCAATCAGATAAATTGGACAACCAGTTCTTTAACTCTACCTAGCCTCCAGAAGGTGTAGCTTGCTGCCAACTACCAAGATACACTGCTTCCCTCTTGTTACCTTTATTTGTCTCCTCTGCTATCTCTTGCTTTTTCCTTGTCACACCCCTGGGAATTCAAATTATAGATCTAACCCCTTTCTCAGTCTGTTGATCCATAACTTTGCTAGATACAACCATAAATGTCACCAGCAATCCCTGGTAAAATCAATCTATCCTGAAAGCCCTGACTGTCTACTTGGATTTTTTCAAAAAGTGAAATTATGAATTGGGCCTGTTGTGTCAATAAGGTCACCACTGATGTTCTTAGTAAGCCTATTGGAATATCATAAAAAATTAATATTATTTATACTGTTTTGATAAGTTAATCACAAAGCCATGGAAGCACCCACAAAATCAATGCAATTTGCATGCCTTGATGCCCAAGTAATGGAGTATTATTACTTTATTACTTAAATATATGCCTAATTAAACTATTTTCTCTTCCAAGGTTTTTTTTTTTTAGAGTAGTGATTGAAAATAGTGTACAGGGCATCACAGCTTCACAGAAAATTCAAAATTATTATTACTCTTTAAATATTGATGATGGATTGATTAAATAAAAGCAAAAATATAGCCAAATACTACCTTTTTTGTTTTTGGTTTTTTACAGATTTCATTTGGTCACAATTTTACTCATTGGTAAGGTCTGGTAAGGCTATTTGAGTCCTTTTTCCATTTTTTTATTTCTATATAATAGTGGTATAATTTACCTTGGTTAGATCATATTCTAATACCTTTCATGTGACATATTAAGAGACTGGCATATATGACGTGTGACAATTAAGTTTCATGACTGAATTTTTTATGAGCATGGTGACATCACAAAGATATTTGTCTTACTGTGGGCTGTTAGGCTGTTATACAGGGTGTTCCTATTTAAACGCAACATAGAGAACAATTTTGTCACCTGTTTTTAGAGTTCAGAGAGTTTCTTTAAGTTCACCAGGTTTCATATCTGTAAAGATAAGAACAATCACTTGTGTTTTGTTTTGTGTTTCCATGCAGATATGCAACCTGGTGGACCTAGTACCTTTACCTGAACTCCACACACAGGCAGAAAAATATTTATTATGTTGCGTTTAAATACAAACACCCTGTATTAGACTGTTAGGTAATGCTATGTAAGTCCTCATCTGCCTAGTATTGTCAATGAGAGATTGACTGGTAATATAACAACTCAATTAGTAAAGTGCCTGTTGTATTCCAAGAGTGAGGCAATGCTTTGTCATGTTTTGTCTCAAACTGGTGAATACAGCAGTAGTGATCCAACAAATGTTGCTATAAGCTTATTTACAAGTTGTCTTGTGATGCTCCAAGAATTTACAATGGTTTTCAAGGCTTCCAGCAAGTAGAGAAGACATTGAAGATGATGACTGATGGATGGCCACACCAGTCATTACAACTGATGTTTTATGCACTGAGTTGCTACATTACTGGCCCATCTCTCAAACCTAAGATTTTTTGCATGGGATGTTTCACCATCCTATGTGAATGTAGGATGGAGCAACATCCCATCTTCAAGAACAAGATGTTATCGTTGAAGGGCCTGCAAGAATTTAGTTTGCAGCACTCTAAGAACGCAAGATGTATGGTTCATGCAGGATGGTGCAACTCCTCTTGCTGCTAAGATTGTGTTTATTGTGTGGAATTACTGCATTATACATATGGAGAGCATGTTGCATACAAACGATTCCTGTGAACAATGGTAACTTGATATGTGAAGAACATATCTTCCAAGGAAAACCTGGGAATTCTAATGACCTGAGCAAAACAATGAAAAGATCAGCCAACACATCCCACCTGAACTGAACTGGAGAATTTAATTTTGCATTTGAGAAAGTTCAGCCACAAGTATGGGAGTCATTTGAAACATATAAGTGAATTAATAATTTAAAAAAAGCAAACATTCAGCTGTATTTTTTAAATCCATTTATCCCCAATATTTTTAATTTTTATTTATTTAATATACTTGAAGGAGGTTGGGAACCCTTATATAAGGGCAAAAGAGTCTGTGTATTTTCTGCACCTGTTTTGCACCTGGTTAGGGGGTGGGTGATATGGTTTTGATTGAGTTTAATCCCTATTAAATGTCACAGAAGCCTAGTTTGAACTCTTGTTTATATCTCTATATCTGGAATCTAAGCTTTTCTCCCTCCTTTTCTAAGATTGCCATTCCCTAACTGTTTCTGGTATTACTTTAACCATCAGGTAATTTTGCTGATAAGGTTTATGATTTAAAAAATAAAAATGAATCTGATGCCACTTCATTCTGTAGATGTACACTGATACTCATTCATTTTACATTCATGAAGGTCCTTGAGCGGCTGATGTCCATGCAGTGGACAGCATTAGACGGTCTGGGAGTTTTGATCATCACCCCTACTCGAGAGCTTGCCTACCAGATCTTTGAAATCCTGAAGAAAGTTGGAAAGTACCATGACTTTTCCGCTGCTCTCATCATAGGTGAGAAGAGGTTCATCATACCAAAACACATATTTTTTTACTGTACTTTTTACTAAAAAAACAATAATGTATTTTTGTATCTTCATGATGGGTTTGAAATTTCATGCAATGTTGACAACCTTTACAAAGATTTCCTAGATTTTCTAGATGAGTTATCCTATAGGGTGTCCCACATGTCAGGAATCATTAGGGTTATAGTGCATGAATTACTTCATGCTTGAGCTGCTTGGAACCCACCTGATAGAATACTGCAAGGCCAAAGTTATCTGGATGACTAGTTCTGATTCAAGTGAGTTAGGTCACTTAGGATCAGAATGAGTCATTTAGGTAAATTTGGCATTACAGTTTCCTGTCAGGTGGGTAGGAAGTAATTAATACATTATAATCTTGATGATTCCTGATTTGTGGAATATCCTGCAGAGAAAGCAAGCATCCTTTTCCCCACTGATGGGAGAACCAAGCAGTGGCATAGCCAGGATTTTGCAAAAGGGAGACTACAGTGAACTGAGGATAGGCTAGAATTTCCTTGACTTCTCCAGTGGGGAGTGGCAGATATATTTTAACCAGAGTTGAGGGGACTGAAGCCCCCCTCCCCTCTCTTGCTATGCCACTGGAACCATGAAATATATATAGAAACAGTGGAGGCAATGTCTCTCTCACATGATTCTGTGCAATGAGGAAAATAATTTAGATATTTCTGAAAGTCCCTTTTTTTTGTTGCTTTCTCATACTGGGCTGATGATAGGACAAAATCTGGAAATATGGCTGAAACAGAATCAGAATTGTCAGAATTGGGCCATGTTTTACTTGAGCAAAATCTGTCAGTGGGTAAATGTGGATAATTGGGAGTCTTCTCCAATATACAAATCATTGTTTCAGGTGGGAGAGATTGGGCCTATGAGCGGATGCGGATGGACCGAATGAACATCATCATATGCACTCCAGGCCGGCTGCTGCAGCACATGGATGAAAATCCCCTGTTTGATTGCACCAACCTCAAGATGTTGGTATTGGATGAGGCAGATCGAATCCTGGATATGGGATTCCAAGACACACTCAATGCCATTATTGAGAATCTCCCTCCCTCCAGGCAAACTCTACTCTTCTCAGCCACACAGACCAGGCATGTCTCTGCCAATGTATTTTGAGAACATGGATGGAGGTTGACATGCTCAATGCAGTAGTGGGCCTTCCTTCAGTGGAAGTTTTGCCAGTTGGCAAACTCTCAAATTTGGAGATATAACTTCCTTTCTGGAGCAAATTTAACCAGCAATAATCCCAGCCTTCTGAGCCCAACATTGTCCCTATGCTTTCACTGAAATCAATGGAGTCATTATTTTTCGTTCTGATCAAACAATGAAAGTAGTAAAGACAATAGACCCACATGCACACACTGATTGACAAGGTCTGAATCTGCATTGAAAAGTGAAAGCTCATTCACAGAATAATCTTTTCTGCAAAATTTAGAGTTAGCATTCTTGTGTTTACTATTCATCTATCATGTCATCATTAATGCTGGAGTTAGTTTAATGTCTTTTCAGGAACATTTAAGTTTGACTTAGTTAATGGATTCACATTCTTCATAACATAACATGTGATATTTCACCTTATGTTGAAATTTGCTCACAGCCAAAAAATTAGGGTGCTCACTTGTGCAGTATACCTATCCCACAGTTTTGTTGCTCAGTCATTGAATTTAGATTTAATTGTTACATATTGGAGTTCATTTTATATATATTTGAATTGATTTAGTACTTTTTTGGATAGACCAAATAGCTTTTCATGATGTGGTATTTGTTCTGGGTATATGAACATGATTTTAACCTTTAACTTACAGATTTAAATCTTTTACATAAGTGCTGGCAGATTGATTTTTTCTATGCAGTTCATAAACACTCACTAGCTGAATAATGCAACTGTTCTAAAAATAAACTATTGACAGTGAATCAATTATTCACTTAGTATTAGAGCATTTTTCCAAAAAGTTGCATTACAGCATTTGTACCTTTAGGCCATGTAAAAATGCATTCTGTGGCACAACAGTTGTGCCTTTTGTCCAATAAAGGTTAAAAACCTACTACTTGATTCCTTATCTATGAAATAAGTCTCAAACTTGGGAGTTGACTTACCAGATTAACCTGGTGAGTGGGAGTTCCTTGTACACTTTCATATGAATGAAGAGTGCAAGCCATTCCTCTCTGGAATCTCTTCTGAAGTGCTGCAATAGACTGAAATGCATCTTGAGACTTGCATGAAAGTTCTTTGAGCTCTTCTAAGACCAGAGGTGGTAGGGGTCTGCATTGGTAAGATGGTATTGCATATGACAATATTACTAGCTTCTATAAACTGCAAAAAGTACCCTCTTCCATGTTTCCACCTTCCCTGAGATTAAAAAAAGCAATTGAATGCATTGATTGCTGTCTGTGTCTGTCCGTGCATCCAATTCAGAAACTCTTCTCAGGAGAGGAATGGACTACTCCCATTGAGAGCACAGACATGATGTATTCAAGCATGAGAGTAAATATTTCAGTAACCATAGGATCTTTTAGGAAAGTTTTCAGAAATTGTTGAGACTTGGGGCATTCATGTAGGTCGGTGAAGGACCTTGCACGCCTAGGACTGAAGGAACCAAAGCATGTATGGGTGCATGAGGAGAGCCAGGCCAGCACTCCGGATGGCCTTACCCAGATATACATGGTATGTCCTCTTGAAATGAAACTGGATCTCCTCTGGAGCTTCATCAAAAACCATCTTCACCACAAGACTCTTGTCTTCATGGCCACATGCCGAGAGGTAATGATTAAAAAACATATTCATATTAAACTGTTTCAAAAGCAATCAATGTACATTCACTACAATTGACTGCTGGCAGAAATTTTCCCAGTAGCCTCTGTGATGGAAGATCAACACAAATTTTTCCATCAATGAATTTCCATGACTTCACCTGGAAGTCACTTAGTAAATTTTTCAAGCCTTCCCATTTGTCTAACCAAGTTTTTTCCAGGTGATAGTTTATTCTTCATTTTCTCTAAACCATCCAACTCATTCTGAATAGGTGAAGTATGTGTTTGAGGCATTCAGTCGCCTACGTCCAGGTGTCCCTCTCATGCTTCTGTATGGTCAGTTGAGCCAGAACAGGCGCATGAGCATCTATGAAGACTTTTGTCGCAAGAAACGTGTTGTCCTCTTTGCTACTGACATTGCAGCTCGTGGTCTTGGTATGTTCCCTTTATAAAAGATATGTCAGTTGACAAAGCAGTTTATGCTTCAGCATGCTCATTATGGACATCAGTCTTTTGACATGGATTCCTCTTCCATACAAATTTTAAAAAATTTGGGTCTATGATTAGCTGAAAGATTGTTGATTTGCTATCTCCTGGCAGACTTTCCAAGTGTGGATTGGGTGGTCCAATATGACTGCCCAGAGAATGCAGATGAGTACATTCACCGAGCAGGGCGTACAGCACGTATAAATCGTAAGGGAAATTCCATCCTTTTCCTGCTCCCAACTGAAGAGAAGGCCATGATCCAGCATCTCAGTGAGAAGAAGATTCCAATAAAAAAGATACAGTGAGTGTTATGAATTATAATGTTTGTTGAAGTTTCCTATTGGGGCCCTAAATTTTTTTTTTTTTACAGAGGCAAAGTTTTTGAAGAGGAAAGCACTACTGTAACTTTTCCATAAATTAGACTATTCATTGTGAGGCTTCTAAGATTTAATAGCAGTTAGGAATTTGTTACCTTTCATTTTTGACCTGGATGTTTCTTTTTGCAAGCATGTATCTATGAAGGTTCATCAGAAAGTAAGGTTACAAGTAGCAAACTGGCTGTAGCAAGTATTGTAACATTTCTTCCTGATCAAGCCTTGTACTTAAAAACCAGAATCAGTAACCAATGATTTTAATCATGTGCAAAGAGTGAACGAGAGCAAGACAGTGTCAATACAGAAGAAGTTGGAGGAGATGCTTGCCCGAGACATAGAGCTGAAGGAGCGGGCTCAGAGGGCCTTCCGCACCTACATCAAGTCAGTCTTCTTCGCCAAGGACAAAGAGGTGTTTCATCTTGAGGCCCTTGACACACCTGCATTTGCTCGGTTTGTTTCCCTACTCACGACTCACTGTAATTCACGCCTTCACTGGTAAATTTTTAGGTACTAAAGGAAGTCAGTCAGTGAAATTCTTGGGTATGCTGGTGAAGGGATTGAAAGGAGGTGATTACTCAAGTGTTAGTTGGAGGAAATTGCAAAAGCACTTATTTTCATTGCTGAAATCTTTCATAAGATTCTAGAAAAATTGTAACTATTCAAATTTGCGATGCCAAAAAATCCCAAAGGTATCTACCCCATCAGTTTCATTATTGCAGTTTGAGCAGCAAGTGATAAGATGATTCCATCTCCAGCCTCAAGAATTGCTTAAAAAATTGTCCAAGTAAATGTAACTGGAAAAATGGGCTTCATAATATGTGATGAATAGGATTTCTGATCCTGAGTATAAAGCATTACTTTTTTAGTTCATTCTTCCGCAAACAGATGAGATGAAACAAGAGTACTTGAGCTTACTTTGAGGGAAGATAGTACAGCCTACTCATAAGTTTGAATTTAAAGCAATATTGGCTGTTTTAGATACTTAATGCATTAGAAGAATAAAGTCATAGGAAGGCTGTTTTTTCATTAGTTTTTCAAGATTTCATTTCTTGCAACTTCTTCTTCTCACATATGGCATTAGCAAGCTATAGAGTCAGGTCCAAGTTTGATAGCCAGGTTGCAGAGTCCTTTTCCAGTGCATGTAGTGCTGCGATTCCTCTGTTGAATTTTCGTTTTTTCACAACGGTTCACTATATGTTCCACGGTCTGGTTGGGATGTCCACAGTCGCAGGCAGGATTGTCTTTGTACTTCCATTTGTACAGATGGTGTCTGGTCCTGGTGTGTGTTGTGTGGATTCAGTTCAGCATTGTCCATAATTTCTGGGGCAGGTGGAAGCCCGGCAGCTCTCTGGTCGGATCCTTGACAAGGAAGTTGTTTGGCACAGTAGAGTTGTGCCATTCCTTCCTCCACTCTTCTTTAACATTGAAAGATGATGCCATCAGGTCACGAGTTGTTTTCCAAAATGGTTTCCACAATTTGAGTCTGATTGGTGGTGGGTGTCTAAGGTCTTGGTGGACTGGGGGGTCTTCCTTGTCTTGGATGTTGAGGTACTCTCACAGGCAACTCTCACACCTTCAGATTTCAGGCAGGGGAATGTTCGATAGTATGGGCAACCATGGCAGAGGGGTGGATGAGAGTGTTCCAGTAATGGTCCTCATTGTTGCATTGAGGATAGTGTTGAGTTTCCATGTGTGGCTGCTTTCTTGCAACAATATGCATGTATTTGAAATATTTATTTTGATCCATTTCATGACCCTTGCTTTTCACGTCATGAAACAGCCCAAGTACAAAAGCTTGCTACTGAACTCCTGCTCCTTGTAGAAGAGGCTCTACTTGAGAATGCCACAACCCTTGCCCCATCATTTTCTGTTTGAGTCAAGGAAGAAAGCTTGAGATTTTATATAAGTCATTAATTCATTCTAATCATGCCAAGGGCAGTGCTCTCCTCTACATGGAAAAAGCCTAAAACTGATTTCAAAACAATGATTCAAGTTTCATTTCAGACTTTGGTCTAACTGAAGTCTACAAGACTGCTCTTATTGACTTACATGACAATGAAATCCCAACTGGATATGCAGCTGAAGTAAAACTGGAACTGAACTGCAAATGGACTGCAGTTTTGTGCAAAGGATAGTTCATCTGCTGTGCCCAGAATCAAATATTATATTATAGGCAAGGCCTCCACAGGCCAAGGCTTCTGCCCTTTGTAGTGGTGAAGAAATAATTGAAAGACAAGTAAAAGAAAAACATTCAGCTAAGGTCTGTATGACTGATTTGTGATGGGGGAGTTGTCTAAGAATGGTCTTTGTAAAGTTAAAATATTTGTCATCTTCATGATTGTAGGCTCTATTGGCAGGTCCATTTTGGTGGAAAAGCTTACTGGCTGGCAGATAATTAGGATTCCCTGCAGAATATTCTTGAAACATTTACACTGTCTCAAAGGTCTTAGTTTAAAAAAATCATCATCATATTTCATGTGAGCCTTGCATTTTTTGGCACATGAAATCTCAGATGAATGAGGAACATTTCTGACAAGGTTGAAAAAACCTCAACCAGTGCAATAAGCTTTTCAAAGTTGAAATATTGAAAACTATGTGAGCCATGAATTGCATGCTGCTCCTCACCAGGTATATCACTTCAGCACACTCCAGCATGATTGAGCATAAATAATGGAATCTCTGAGTTTCCTCACTGGTTTTCTTTACTTTTTCCCTCATATTTTCATAGTTACTTTGTGTTCTGGTTGTGTTTTTCATATTTGATCATTATCAGTTTCTGTAGGCCTAAGGGAACTCTCCATTCATGCAGATTTTGTCACATCACGAGTCACAATATTTATTAAGGAAAGAACATAATGGGATTCAGTGAAGAGGTCAAGCACCTGATTGAAAGCTTGTGAGAGATGAAGGGGTGCAACTCTCATTGGTTCATGAAGGAATCCCTGAATAAAACTGTTTTCATCATGGTCTTGCTAGTTGTCAAAAACATTGCTGAAACATGATCATCTGACAGAAAACTTGAAAGTGGCTAACTGCATGCAGTCCAGGCTTCAGAAAATATTATGGCCATGGTATATAAGTCATTGTGTGATTTCCCTTCCTTCATGGAGAGACAGCCTTGCATACTTGCATTTCCCAAATGCTACTGAAGCCTTGACTATGGAGCCTACTGTCCTATTCATTGTTGGCTTCTGAGAATGGGAAACACAAATCCCCCACCCCATTTTGTATGTCAACAAGATTTTTAAACTTCATCAATTGAATTTTAATTTCCTGATTCTCAGCTGTTGTCTTGAATATGCTTTGTGAAGCATGATTTTGTATCCCTTTATATTACTAGTACCTAGAAAACTTGTATTGTGCTTTATCACATGAGACAATGAAAATATCAAAGACTGAAACAATTTTTTGATGGGAGTGAATGACTCAAGAAGAAGTTGAGAAGGGAATGAGACAATTCATGTGCTTGGGAATGTGCGGCTGGCAAAGTTAACATAGAATGTGTTGTGATTTCCTAAACTAAAAGGGTCTATCAGCGACTCCATCAGCTCCTTTCCCTCTTAGTCTTTCCCCTTTCCATCCTTTCACACCTGTGCAAAGTAATGAAGTTGAACTAGCAATATAATGTCAGGGGTTAATGGGTATGAAGACTGCATTCAATAAAATCTGGAAATTCTGTTTGTAGTTCATTGTCTCTGGACTTGTTAGTTGTAAGTTTGTTTACTGAATGACTAGGGAAAAAAAAGAGAAAGGCATCCATAGCTTTCCTTCATGATTTTTCTGGTCCAGCCTTTTGTACATCGAGAAGATAGGGAAAGGTCACTCTTAACCCTTTCACTGGTATCCCCAATAAGTTCTGAGGCTGACCTTCCTTCTGTATCTCTAAACTTACTGGTGAAGGAGTAAGAAAAAGAAATTTTCTCACATTTTTTCTTTAAACATGAAAGGAGGGAGCCAACTCACTTTGCAAGGGAATTCCTTTTGTATCCTTAGGTTTACAGGAAGAAAATATGTTTTTACTACACTGCTCAGTACTAACAGTGGTTTAGTAATCCTTTGTTATTCAGGAATGAAGTGACTTTACTTCAGTGCTCAAAATGTGAAGTGGTCTCCACCAAAAGGAAATCAGAACGATCATGTTGTATAATCAATTGAAATGAATTGGTTTGGTATGTGACCTGGTGACCTTGTATGCTCTGATTTAATACAGTTATTTTCCCCCATCTTCTCAGGTCCCTGGGATTGGTGGTGCGGCCAAGAGTAAGATTCCTGGAGAAGTTTAATATTCGACTTGGAGATTTTGATGCAGAGCAGGAAGAAGATGAGAAACAGTTTGGGGAGGGTCGGTATTTTTCATTTCTGCAACTTGCTTAACTACTTGATGACAGCTTTACAAATCCACATGAGATAAGTCCCGTTTGGAGTCAATTTTGCAGTAATGTTTCACTGAAGATGTTATTCTGATATCCATGATGTTTTTAAAGATGAAGTAAACTTGCACTTAGTAACTGTAAGCTAATTAAATTTTCATGCTTTGTGAAATATGCCTTTGCCTATGACTTACATGCATGTGGAATTAGTGACATTTTTCTTTGCTTTCTTTTGCATAATCTTTTTTATGTGCATAATTTACCATTTCTCTGCTAGTTCCTAGTTTCTTCTTCTGAAAGATACCTGAAGAATTTCACCAAATTGGTTCAGGTTGCTTTCATCAAGTACCATTCTTAATATGTTGTATTTGAATTTTTAAAATCCGATATTCACATCCCTAATAACCTTAAGTATTTTTTAAGTGAAGTATTGCATGTTAAAATGGCATTCCTACTGGTACTGCTTTGCTCTTTGTGTCAGTTTCTTCAGAATTGGAGGTGGTGTTCATATGCATGCATTTAGTGCTCAGGATCATTGTAAGAGCCTGATTTATTTGTGCATATTATATAAAAAAGACTAGAAAAAAGACTGCACTCAGTCTGCTTGACTAGACAGAAATAGCCAATCTCATCAAACCTCACCTTCAGCAATCCCAAGGGATTATTTTTTTTAACCTAATAAATCTCTTCTTAGGAAGATGCAGTTGGAGATTCATCTTAACTGATGTCTTTTTCAATTGGCTATTACAACATTCAAATTTCACATGGACCAGCATATATAGGAGAAAATTTAAAAATTGTTTGCCAAAAAAAGGAATACTTTTACTTTTTTCAAGCAGGAAGGTTCAGCATCACTTTTATTATTTTCCTAACTTTTCTGCCTTTACTCTTTCATGAATTTTAGTTTTCACTAATTAAAAAAAAAAATTGTATCTTTCATTCTGATTGAGGAACTGAGAAAGTAAACTCTCTTAATACCAATATCGTTACTATGAAGGTTCTGATGAAGAAGGGGAGGACTTCCTGATGTTGAAAAGGCAGGACCATGAACTAGAGGAGGAACTGGCAAAGCTCCCTGATCCATCCCTACCAGAGCCTCATGGTACAAGGGTGAGGAAATCCCGCAAGGCTGTGACCAAGGCAGCACAGGCCAAGAAGATCCTCCGCAAGAATCTCTCTGTGAATCAGAAGATGGTGTTTGACGAGGAGGGAGAACCAATGCTGGAGGCAAGCAAGGTCCCCCAGTCAGACTTGGGGAAACGCTACCAGTTGCAATCAAGGGAGACAGGTGGAATTGACCTGGATGAGGCCCGACAGTACATTGAGGCTGAAGACCACTTTGACAAGGAACTCTTTCGCCGTCGTGTCCATGAGAAACACAGGTCTGGTGTCCATCCCCCTCCCTTTCATTCAGAATGTTCTGTTCCTTGTATATTATTCTGTGAGATTGTAAATTTCATACTCTATGGTTCCAATGAGCTGCTTTTAAGCAATCCTCCTTTAATAAAGAATATGAGACTTCACATACAAGAGGTTGACCCACAAGCTCAGTGGTACTCAAACTGAGGCCCATGGGCTGCATGTGAAGGCCTCACATGCGGCCTGCAAAGACTAAATATACTTTACAGTGAAAAGAAACCCACAATGAACATTATGGGTGACATGCACCATATTCATTTAACTTTAAACTCGTTCATTTTCATAATGGGTGTCTTTGGCATAAGTTTATCCCTTTTAAACTTATTCCCTTATTGACTTATTGACTGATTTCCATAGGGGACCATTGTGAGACCAGATTAGTTTAGTTTAAACAGATTCAGTGCATGTCACCCTATAACCCTGACTAGACTTCTTTTTTTTTCAAGTGCGGCTCGCACAAGTTTTGTCACGTTCACATGAGGCCCCCGGCTCAAACATTTTGAGTACTGCTGTACTAACTGGATGTCTGTGGCCCAACCTATTGTTAACATTTCCAGAACACCTTGATATTGCTTAAACATCACTGAATTTTCACCTTACAAATGTGGGAATATGATGTCCACATCCTGACGTTTTGATGCTTGAGAAATGTTATGTACATTACATTTTAATATTTGGTGACTTCTATGCAGGAACAGCATGAATTGGGTTGGGAGGCATCCTGATTTGGCTCACTGAGTCATCCCACATTTGCTCAAATAACTTCTATTCCCATGCACATTGTGCTTGAAGCATTCTCCAGTATAAACTTCCTTCCCCTTAATTATGCATATTCACAATTTTACGATTATACTGGGTGGTGCAGAATAACATATGCACTAATACATGTTGAATAAAAAAAATACTTCTTAATTAAAAACAAAACTATTTTACATATTTTATTTAAACATCATTGTACAGATTTACTGTAGACTAATGTTCAAAGTGACCACCATTTGCTTTGCTTCTAAACATTCATGACATCACCTAAGCACTGATCAACAAACTTTAGCAATAACTCAGTGGTTATGTTTGCATAAGTTGGCACAACAAACCATCACTCTGATGTGGTTCGGCAGCCCAACTAGCTGCTGGCTGCTCCATACATTGGGGAGTCTAGGGTGATGACCTGTTGTTTCCGTTATTGTATGCATTCTTTTGCACCACCTTGTACATTGCATGCTTTATCTGTTACACTCAAAGGAGGCTTTACTACCAGACTGAACTTTGTCAATAATTTTTTTTTTCTTACCTTGTTTATTTCAATAATTCGAGGATCCTTTGGCATTGGCAATCCCTACCCTGAAGAATTTCCAAAAAAAATTTTTTTGGTAGGCCTGAAGAAACATAAAACTTTTTCTGGTGTTATATAGGAAACACAAGGAAAAACAACGAGAGGAGAAGGAAGATGAAAGGAAGAAAAATGGAGTCAGATTGAACAGTGAAGGAAATGATGAAGGTGAAGGTGATGAGGAATCTACCTCACTCAATTGGCTGCCTGACCCTGACAAGGTGTATGGTGAGAAACATAATGAAAGTGGAGAGGGTGAGAGTGAAACTGAAAGTGAGGAAGAAGAGGAAGGGGAACAGAAATGGAGAGAAAGCCAAGAAGATGAGTCAGAATCAGATTCATCTTTAGATGCCAGGAAGAGGTGAGAGGCTCACCCACTTCTATTTATTTATAAATGTCCGTCTAGCAGTAAAAGTTTTTGATGCATCCTTTTCTCAAGAAGCAATGAAAAAGTAAGAAACCCATGGAAAGAGATTAAAGCTGACTGCAAAGGTGAACCTTAGAGAGTTGAAAGTCAGAAAAATAGGCTGAATGCCAGAACACAAAGTGATGTAGCATCTAGGTATGAAATGCATAATTAGGGAAAGGCATTTGTTGGTGCCCTTTCTATACAGTGTCTTGAGTAAGTCACAGTCATATGCAGGCAAATTCAACACTATGTGCACCAAAGTGCACTCACCCAAGACAACCCTAAATGTTGATTGGTGAGCAACACGTATAATGTAAAGAAAACCAGCATATTGACAAGTTGAGCTGAAATGAAAGCCAAAATCATTGCATAGAGTTCATAAAGACCTTTCCAGCTATGTATCACATGACTATATTTAGTCACTTGAAAAAGTGCATTTTTATAATATGCAACTCTTGACAAATTAAACACAATTGTATTCAAAAAAGGCACAACAAATCATATATTGTTGGAAAGATCTCAAGCTCACTTTTCCAATGACATTACCCTTCTTACCATAAGTGCTCCACCACATAAAAAAACTTGACCAAAAGAGACCAAAAATGAGACAATTCCAATTTTAAGGTGAAATTTTCTCTATGTAGTGGACAAAAAGTAAAACAAGTAACTTGTTTTTATCAATGCCCCTGAGGGAGGAGTGCAACTTGTTGTAACCAGGAATTTTTTTTCTTTTCCCTCACTACCTAGGGATATTAGGAGGTCATAATTGCCTAAATTTCACATTTTCAAAGTCAACTATGATGCTGAAATCTCATCCAAACCCCAAAAATGTATGGAGCAAATTGTTTAATTATTAAAGAGCTTCGGTTCAAACTATGGCATGTCTCGTATGATGAATGGTTCCTGTGATGAAAATTTTGCTTTCCATGGAATTTCTCCATTTTCCCCCAAAGTTTGGGTCCATATCTCACTAAATGCAGATCCAATAGAGGCTATTCTTTTTTTTTTACAAGGTTGTCAGACTGTCTGCAGCGATTGAGAATTTTTATCACAAAATCCAAGATGGTCAAATGCCATTTTTGATTAATATTGTTTGAGTGTGTATGGAGTGACTCATAAGCTCACAATAATATTGGACCTCTGGGTTTCTGATTCATGTCAGTAGCTTGATATTGCAAATTTCACAGTTCTATATCTCTTTAAGTTCTGATTATCTAGTCATTCCTAGTCCTATGCAGTCAGTGTACTAGGGCTTTATTAACATCCTGCAAGTTGGTGTTCATAATCCCTTGAAAATAAAAAATAAAATAAAATAATAAAGTAGGCCTACTGTGCTTTATTTTGTGTTCAAACTTTTTGTGAAAGGAGCAATGAACAAGTCCATTATGTAACCAGTTTTCTGCTTTAAAAAATGTAGTGCTTCCCAAATGGGACATTTCATGTAAAGCCCATTTGAAATATTCTTTCACTGGATGAATTACGAAGTTCTTACAACTTGAAGTTCTTAAAAAATATTTATTGCAGTTATTCCTTCTGTGGTGTTAAAATACCACGTGATAAAGGAATCCTCTTTTCCTCTCACAGGAGCAGAGATACTTCTGAGGGAAGAAAAGGGACAAAGAAATTAAAATGGACGAAGGAAGAGACATTTGACACGGGCCTCTCCCTCCACGAAGATGAGGATCTTGCCCTCCAACTCCTTCAACATGCTTCCTAACTATTCTGTCTCCTTGTTTACTATTTGAGGAAAATACATTCCTCAAATGAACACACTCTGATCTCTTGCTGCTTTGTCATGATCCAATACAAATTCTCCCCAATTGGTTCTTGGGTACCTTCTTCTTTGCTTTGGGTCTGTCCTTTCAAGGGCACTCTGATCACTACCTGGGAACAAGTTGGTAGGAACCTTGTGTTGTTGGGTAAAAACATAATTTTATGTAGCTCAAGCCATGTTTCAGAGAATGTTTGAGAACTCCCTGCATTACTCATTTTCTAATGTATTTGGCATAAAAATATATTAGACATTATTGAGTTGCTTGGGGACAAATTGAGGACATTTTGCTTTTCCACGTTATGCTACTTATCATGATTTAAATTTTTTGTTATCATAAAGGGAAATTCTTTTCAATTTTCCCCAATTTTTCTGCACTCCAGACTTGAGCAGGGATTTTTTTAATGTATATCAGGCCATGGAACATACTAGTGTACCATCTAGGAACAACATCAATACTACATACACAAGTCATATCCACAATACAGCTACAAGATTGTCTTGTAGGTCAATGGAATGTCTTATCATTGAGACGGCAAAACTCTCTTGCAAGTCAATGCCAACAAGTTCAGCATGAGATTCATCCCAGTTAAACTTCATTTGCCATTGCTTGAATGGAGACTCCTACTGTGTGCCATTCATCTTCAGTCCTAATGATCATCCTTATGGGAATTGTTGGTGCAACTCAGGCAACATAAACACGGTATGCTTGACGCATTAAAATTGATATGAAGTTGTTACATAAAACCAAATACTTCAGTTCTTCATGTCACTGTTATGCATTATTCCACTGTAAATGACAATAGATGTTTGTGGTAAAAAATCTGCATGATGAGGCATTGAAGAATGGAGTATCTCTTCACTCATATTTTACCTGGTGACACTTGTAAGGATGCTGAAAATGATGGTTTGAGAGAACAGTTAATTGAAATATTTGAATTAAGTAGTTCGCTCGAATTTGGGCATACTTTTTATTGGAGTGAACACTGGTTGAGTCCTTAGCTAAGAGGGAAATCACTGAGTCATCAAATCACCTAACTCTCCAAACACCCAATTTTGACAAAAATATATATATTAAGATTTAGAAAATGGGGAAAACGTGTACTTTAATGCTTGAGGAATCTCCTGTAACCGAAACAAATAATAGAGGGCTTTTAACCTCTCGTTATGAGCTTTAAATGATATGTTCCTCAGAAACTTGTCTCTTTTTTTTTTTTTTTTTAGATAGAAGTCTTAAATTCATCGGGCGTATTGCTTGATGCTCTGCTTTTTAGAATGTAGGTATATTTTTTTAATAGGGTTTTTTAATAGTTTCTCAAAGAAACAAAATTTTTTCCGTTTTCTTTTTTAAATGTGATTTTGAATCATACTCCTTCAGGAATCAGCTTCTGCAATATGTTTTATTGATTGATAATGAGTACGTGTATGAAAATATTACCCTTTTTAGCTCTTTTGAATGTCTGTGGGAGTTGATGAAATACGTTCCATTTGTTTACTTCTTTTATCTCAGCAACTATGACAGTGGAATGCTTGCACTTCAAGTAAACGAATTTTTAATAGATTCGCATGCCGTAGAGACTCCTTCTCCGTTCCCGATCATGCTCTATCTGGTATCCATGGTTCTTGACAATGACTCTACATCGAACTTTCAACGATAGAAGCTACTCTGAAGCACAGTGAGATCCAAACGCTCTCACTTTTCCTTGCACACTTTCCAGAGACCGTCCCAAGTGCTAGGTGACCGATTTCCCAAGGCTCCCTTCAGCAAGCCAAAGGCAAAGAAGTCCTGTGCTTAATATTGGAGCTTCACAAGAATATCCGTGAATGGTGTTGCTGCTGTTCTTGCGGCATTTTCCATATGGCTCAAGAAGGCAGCTGTTGCGATGGAAGTGCGACTCAATGCCTAATCAATGGTGCACAAATACCACAGGAGTCTGATCAATACAAATGGGGGATTTCCTTTGCAAAATCCGGCTCAAAACTTGTTATTGGTGATATTGGGAATGGATCCTGACTTTCTTTGCAACTGCAGATCTACAACTTCCCATTTAAGCGAAAGCGAGCAACAGCCGTGAATCAGGACGAAAAATGTTCCTTGCACTTCAGGAACCACTTTTGAAATAGTTTTCACTACAAAGACGATAGTAGATGGCTCGAACTTTGTTCGTATCATTCAGCAAAAAATATCGGCTGCCTCTAGGGTGACCATATATTTCCACTTGTCTCCTGCTTAGATGGCACTCAGAGCTTTCAGCAATTTGTGAACATGAGACTTCAGCTTTTTTCCCAACCTAAGGTCTTGTTGATAATTTTGGTAATCGTAGCAGGGCGCACGTGGAACTTGTTGGCAAGACTTCTTTGTGGGTGACATGAACCAACTGAGGAATCGGATTATTTTAAAGACGAGATGGATAGGCTTATTAAAATGCGTTCAGAATGTGTTTATCTTTGACATGCACCACCGAAAATCATGCTATTTCCCATGACCACGTTTATCCATGATTTAAACGTATTTAAAAGTGGGATGGGTACTTCGTGTCAGCTGCTGTTCCATTGTTCGCACCTAGCCGGAGACGGTGTCCTTGGAAAAACGAAACCTTATTCATAATTCATCTTCGGTGAACCATTCGAGAGGATTGAACCGATCTCCGATAATTCTCCAGGCAGGTTGGTTCAGGATCAGGGTCAAAAACTTCCATCACTTCATTAGTTTCCATTTTCACCGTCACCAGATGATGAGAGGCAAGAAAACTGAGGTCCACTACAGCAAAACGGCATGCTGAACTACCTTTTAAAATCCGTTTAGGGAGATAAGCTAGTTACGGAGCAAGTTTATCTTTGAAGATTAGTTTAAGAGAGAAATAAACTAATTGTGTAAGCCCCAAATCAGTTTAACGACTTCACCTCATTCTTAGACATTTAAGCCTGGAATCAGATCAGATTAGCTCCTAAATCGATGTGATGCAGGTCATCCCATGTCGATGGATTTTCTTCCTGATCAAGTTGACTGACGATGCTAATGGTCTCTGAAGTTCTCTGGAGTCGGTTGCGATTTATGCGGCTTTTCTCTCCCTGCCAGTGCAGCCTCCCGGGTGACTCCAGCAATTTGAATGGTGTTGGGGATACCTTTCTTGGAGACTTCATCACTTTCGTCCTTGCACCAGTCTTTGATCACAGAATTCGAGTAACCTTCTTCGGAAGGGGCAGTAACGTTCCTCTCCCACCAAACATTGATTTTCGGAGGCATTCCACTTGTACAAGCCTTCTCGCTTTCTTATTGGAAACGCTATACCGTACTAGCCGACAGATACTGCAGCAAGAAAACTCAAGTTCAGGTAAGCTTCCGCGGCCGTTCAAATTCGTTTCCATAAAGAGTAAAATAAATCTCCGTAAACGTAAGTCGATCGAAAGATGTTCGACCTGATTTTATTGATAATGCAACTCGGAGGGAAACCGTCTCTCCTGCTGAGGACAAAATCGTCAGAAATTTCGCCGATCCAATACGATCTCTTCGATATTTCTGGGAATGCGTGAGGACCAAAGAGGCTTCGAATGAATATCATCGTACGATAACGCACGTGAGCATTGGACCTGCGAAACGAATAGCACGAGGTTACTCGGATAACTATCGATGAGAAGATCTTCGTTTCTCGATGCTTTCGGTCCTTTGTAAGTGGCAGCTCCAAATCTCTTCCTGTGTCGAACCTAGACGGCGGGGAAAGATTTCGGACTTCGTCTCGTGATTCCGAGAGCTAAAACCACCTCTTCCGTGATCTCCAGGAAAGTCTGAATGGCATCGGAATGGCCTCTCCTTCTAATAGCCCTTCTTGTCTTCGGTGGTCATCCGAGTCACGTTCTCTTCCCGTTCCAGTAGGAGGTGGTAGGAATCAGGGCAGGCCTAAGCTATTTCGGCGCCCTTTACAAAGAAACTGCCAACACCCCTCCCCCCCCCCCCCCCCCCTCCCCTCCCTCCTGTCTCCGCACTCAAACACACACACTTACTATCACAAACATTTTGATTAGGTTGCGGCATTGTGGTATAACTCAACTATCTACTTGTGAAAAACACTGAGTTCAATTGTGGCTCTTACAGGGTTCTGCGGTTCAAGCAAGAAAAAGCGATCGATGAAAAGAATTTCTTGTTAACTTTGCACGAGAGACGCTGTTAAATGGACTCAACATCACACATCGCTTGAAGGTAAACATCATCGACTCCGCATAATCAATTTATCCGTAGAATTAATTTTCTATGGATATAGCAAGTGCTACGAGGCGTTCCTGGGTCGTGCTTCGGCTTCGAAAATTTTCGCTCTGCTGAAGCCACAGCTACTAGGACGGTGAGAATTCTCGAAGCACCGCAGACAGTAGGGAAGACATGTTGACATTGACGGTGCAAGTGGAGAAGGCATTGAAATGGGGGAGTTTTCAGAGGGACCAAATCAGAGATGGCCCGATTCATCATAAAAGTGAAGACCATCTATGACCGATGAATTGAATCATACATGTCCGAATCGATCCTACTCGTTTTTGCGATTCCAGGTCTGAGAACCTTCCCAGCAAACAATGTTACGTTGGACCAACATCGTATCAACGTTCCGAGAGTTTATTCAATGTTAATTCAACATTATGCGTTTCAAATTGTTTGCTGGGTTGTATTTCTGAAAGGACTTTGCAAAGCGTCGGGAATCCCATCGACATCGCATCACTGGTGGCACCTCGCGATCGCTTCGAGGCAGACCCCAGAGGGTAAAGGTTCAAGATGCAAAGATCTAAGGTGCTAAGGACCACTTCCGACCATCTCCGGTTTCCATTCACGGAAACTGCGCGGTGAAACGACTAGCGAACGACCCACGGAACTCCATTTTGCTCGCTGGATCTGCTCCAGACCGTAAATACGCAAACGTTTAATTGTGAATCTCACCCGAGACCGAAGCCATCGCTCGGCAGGTCATTTCTACGCACGGGGAGAACCAGAGGGCGTCAGGGAGCCTAACGGTCGGAATCCATCCATGAGCATCCCTCACCCGAGGGTCGATTCCACAAATGTTGCCAGTTCGGTTTCTGCGTCGTTCGAGTCTCTCACCTTCGTGCATCTAATCAGATGGTGAAGGTGTTTACCAGACGAGTGTCACAGTGGATGATGAATGAGAGCGATGCTGTTTCGTCAGAAGTCACTCCTTGTCCTATTTATTTATTTATACATTTTCACGTCCCCAACTTTCCCTCTTCCTTCTCCTCCGTCCCCGTCTCTGTTTTGAGGCCATGAAGTCTGGCCTTTTTTATGCGAGTCGACGGGCGTAAATCCGCTCTCGCGAGGGTCCGAAGGCGGCACGAGAAACACGGGACCGGACTCGTGGGTCGTTCGCTAGCCGATTCACCGCGCGGTTTCCGTGAATGGAAATCGGAGACGGTCGAAAGTGGACCTTAGCACCTTGGACCTTTGCCCGAGGATCTGCCTTGGGGAGATCACGAGGTGCCGCCAGTGCTGCGATGTCGACGGTGCACCGTCCCGGCACTTCCGCTAGCGCTATCAAGGTCGAGGTCAAACGATTGCACGATCGCCTCGCGTAAAACTTCTCATATTTTCACGGCACGGTGCCTCCAAGCTACCTCCATCGATACGAGTACTATCGTTGCCGCTCGATTGTGAAATTATCAGCCATCACGACACATCGGCTGTAGTTGTCGATAGAAAAGTGTCGATTGTGATATTTGGAAGTAGTTGCCGGTGATGAAATCGCTTTTTGTAAAACCGAGAAGCAAGGGCGAAGGAAGAAGTTTCCTAAGGACAGGTGCTATCGTCTCCGGCTCGTTCGACGAAGAGAGTCCCGATTTCCCCGTTCCGGGCGATCGAGAGCATTCGAGTGCACCCCATCGAATCGGATGCGCGAAAGAGGGGAGTCCGGAAACGCATTGAAACGCGATGCAGATCCCATCCGGCTCCCGGCGCATCGTCATGCTCTTCCGTTCACGGCCGGAAACGACGAAGATGGCTATCGCGCGAGAGGATCCCTAACCCGGAGACCCAGTGAACGCGAGACACACCGTTGCGGTCCACGCCCCGATCGCATTCCGTCCATTATACTCCCGGACGATTCGAATCGTGGACACTCCCCGGTTTCCAGTTTGCATCGACTCTCTACTTCGTCCCATCGTAGGTCTTCGCACTCCTCGCGTTTACCATTTATAAAGCGTCGATGCACGCGATGGATCCCCATCAAAGGCCGTGACAGAAACTGGAGACCTTCGACGAGTCCCAACCCATGGGAACGATCGCCGTCTCCAGGCGTCACAAAAGATTCACAGAACCCAGATGGACACACACGCCGTGGATTTCGGCTTACGCAGCAAATTTTAGCCTCCATTCGATCACAAAATTCTAGATTCTTTCAGAAAAATGAAACATTAAGAAAATAAACGGGAAAAGCGACGAAGACGAAATAGTTCGGGCGCAATTTAATGGGCTAGAGCAGGGGTGTGAAACATCCGGCCCGCGGAGGTGGTTCATCCGGCCCGCCGAGGTGGTTCATCCGGCCCGCCGTCTGTTTTTTAAATTTCCGCTTGGATTGACTGTAAGCACAAATTTCATTGAAAAAAGTATGGGTGCGGCCCGTAGGCAACCTGCAGGTTAGGGAATGCGGCCCACCAACCGATTTGA